TACACAACCAGTTTTGACGATTGTCAAAACCGTTGATATGCCTTCAGCCTCTCAAAATTCGGATCTCACCTACCAACTCGCAGTGAGCAATGCAGGATCTGTTCCTAGTGGCACACCAACAGTCGTTGAAGATCTTTTACCTGCTGGCTTAACACTCAAAACAGTGACAACTCAAAATACATGGAGCTGCACACCAGATACTGGATCTGGTGCCTTAACGATAACCTGTGTTAAAAATGCTGGTGTTTTGGCCAATACAAGTAATGAAAGTATTGCAACGATTGTTGCGACAAAAACAACAACATCAGATGTGACCAATATAGCGCAAATTACATCGGGCGATAGTGCTTGTACCCAAGCATCTCCGCCAGCGCGTTGTCGTTCTTCTGTTTCAATTGTCGATAGCACTTTGCCGCAACTTCAAACAACATTGACTGTTGATACAACAGTTGCATCACAAAACTCGGTATTGACATACACACAACAAATTAGTAATCAAAATCAATCACCGAGTAGTGCAAATACCACAAGTGTAACGACAGTTCCTATAGGTCTAACAGTGACAGAGATATTGCCACAAAATGGCTGGGTATGTACACCAAGCGTAAGTTTGCCTGCTGTGGGACCAATTTCTATCACTTGTGTGAAAGCTGCTGGTGTTCCAGGTTTGGCAAACAATGAATTACAAATGAACTTCAAAGCTGTTAAAACAGGAGTGTCTCCAGTACGCGTTGATGAACAAATTACTATAGGTGATACTGCTTGTCCAGCTGCACAACGTTGCCAAGCTTCCGTGACCGTGACTGATGATACGAAACCCGTGTTGACAATCAGAAAATCAGCTAATGTAACTGCAGCTGCTCAACATGCTGATATTACTTACCAAGTGAAAATTGATAATGCAGGTTCTGTACCGAGCGGCAAACCAACAGAAGTGGAAGATTTATTGCCAACTGGGTTGAGCTTAAAGTCAGTCACTGCTGGAAGTGGCTGGGTTTGTACACCTGATACAGGTGTGGGACCTATAACAATCGTGTGTAGTAAGATTAATGGTATTGATACTAACGTACAAAATGAAGATGTTATGACCGTTGTAGCAACAAAAACCACTACAACTGATGTGACCAATATAGCGCAAATTGTTGCAGGTGATGGTGCTTGTGTTGAAACACCAATACCTGCGCGTTGTCAATCATCTATTGCGGTCACAGATAGCACCTTGCCTCAACTTGAGACGACATTAACCGTCGATTCAAAAACTGCACCGCAACATTCTGTGCTGACATATACTCAACAAATTAGCAATCACAGCCAAGTAACTAGTGGTGCGAATACAACGAGCATTACTTCTATCCCAACCGGTTTAACGGTGACAGAGATTTTGCCTCAAAATGAATGGGTGTGTACACCTAGCACCAATTTACCTGCGGTTGGTCCAATGCAAATTACTTGTGTTAAAACAACCGGTGTTGTAGGTTTGGTTCAAAATGAGTTGCAAATGAACTTTAAAGCCACCAAAACTGGCGTGCTTCCCGTGGAAGTTAAGGATGAAATCACTGTAGGTGATAAGGCTTGCCCAGCAGAGCAACGTTGCCAATCTGCGGTGATCGTGGCTGATAGTACTAAACCTAAACTCGTCATCAAGAAAACGGCAAATGTGAGTAATGCAGCTCAACATACTGACGTTACTTACCAAGTTAAGATTGATAATATTGGTGCCGTCCCTAGTGGGGTGACTCAAATAGAAGATTTGGTGCCAGCAGGGCTGAATGTGAAATCGGTAACAGTTCAAAATAATTGGGTTTGCACACCTAATGCAGGCGTTGGACCATTAACAATCATATGTTATAAAACGAATGGTGTTGCGGCCAATACTCAAGACGAACACATTATGACCGTTATTGCAACGAAAACAACCTCATCTGCCGTTACCAATGTTGTCAATATTGTTGCTGGAGATGATGCATGTTATGGGAGTCATACGGTGCCAGAACGGTGTAAATCTACAGTCGTGGTTGCTGAACCTGCTGTTTTAGCAGCTGAGATTACTGTGAATCCACCAAGCGCCCCTATCAATGCAAACGTCGTTTATACAACAACAATTAGTAATCTTTCACCAACAACGAGTGCAGCCGATACCTCTACAGTTACATCAGTTCCAGCAGGGTTAACCGTAACGAATATTACCGCTCAAAACGGCTGGACGTGTCAAGCAACAAAAGATCTGCCTGCAATTGGCCCCGTTAATATTTCGTGTGTTAAGGCTGCGGGAGTATCAGGNTAATTGATGAAGGAAGTCTTCACCAGGGGAGGATGAGGGTATTAAATTTTGTCTCTCCCATTTCATTCTGGGTCAACCTTAAGGCTCGTCTAGGAACGGCTGCATGCTTCCACAATACAGTAAATAACCGTTCCCCTCGATTCCGAGATGATTCTTCTTCCTCCCCCCCTCGTTCAGGCCCTATTGTTCGGCAAAGGGGGGGAGGAGAATCCGCCGATGTGAGGGGAACCTCGATGAGGAAGATGAATCAAGCGAATCAAGATAAGGAAGGCTTTCTTGGAATGGCTTCGACATGTACAATTCCTTTCGCCAGACGTCATTGTTTTGTTCAGCGTCAACCCTCTTTTTTTTATAACAATAAAAATGCGTTGGAAGAGAAAATACGTCCAAAAGGCGATATTCACAGTCTGATTTGATCGGCTTACCGTAATACTTGATACAGCAGGTGACTTGATCCGACTTTGGACAATCAAAATCGCGTTCTGATGAGATGAATCAAAATAAAAATCAGCATGCGGTTAAGTCACCCCAAAGGTTGGGTGATATGATCAAGCACTTATTTAGCAGGGCTAATTGGGAATGCATGCACAATATGATCACTGACATGGAAAATGACCACATGCGTATCTATAAAAGACTGAAACTTCATTTCTCCACGCTTCCAGGAACACCAGGTAGGGTCATGGATCATATGCGTCGAGGTACATTGAAACTTGATAACCTGCAAGCATTGGTGTTAGATGAAGCAGATGAAATGCTGAGAATGGGTTTTATTGATGATGTCGAATGGATTTTGCAAGAAATGCCTGAATTTCATCAGACAGCGCTATTTTCTGCAACGATGCCATCAGTAATTAAACGTTTAACCAATCAATATCTTAAAAATCCTGTGGATGTTACCATTAAGGTAAAAACGACAACAGCAGAAACAATTTCACAAAAATACTGGCAATTGCGACCTGAAGATAAGATTGATACCTTAACTCGTGTGCTCGAAGTGGAAGAAACCGATGGGGTGATTATTTTTGTTCGTACCAAAAATGAAACGTTAGAGGTGGCTGAGAAATTGCAAGCCCGTGGTTTTGCAGCTGAAGCCTTAAATGGCGATATAGTGCAAAAGCAACGTGAAAAAATTGTCGGACAAATTAAAAAAGGACAAATCGATATTTTAGTGGCAACTGATGTTGCTGCACGAGGCTTAGATGTTGAAAGGATTAGTCATGTCATCAACTATGACATACCTTACGATACGGAGTCTTATGTACATCGAATTGGGAGAACTGGTCGAGCAGGTCGTGAAGGCGTAGCAATTTTATTTGTGACTTCACGCGAATTACGAATGTTGTCTATGATTGAGCGGGCGACTAAACAAAAAATTGATAAGTATCAACCACCTTCGATTGAGTTGCTTAATCAACGGAAAATTGAACAACTCTTTAGTCAGATTAATGAAGCTCTCGAAGGTGATTTGACCGATTACCACGGAGCTTTAAAACGATTTCAACAAGAGTACAACGTTAGTCCTTTGGATTTAGCAGCTGCACTAGCCTTTATTACTCAAGAAGGCAAACCGTTATTGCTCAAGGAGAGTGAATTCAAACAACCGCGTTTTACAGAGGAACCGCGACGCAGCGGGCATGGTGGTGGAGGTGGTCGCGATCGTGATCGTAGTGGTCGCTCACAAGCGCCATCCGATGCAAGACGAGGTTTCGAAGGTCGCAAAAAACCAGCTGTAGCCAATCAAGGAAACAAGGAAGGTGGCGGACGGTATAATACAGAACGATTTATGAGCGATAGACCGAAAGCGGAGCATGACACGAAGACATCTGGCACCCGTGAAGCTAAATTGAACAAAGAAAAGAAAAGCGATAAACCACGTTATAAAACCAAAGAAAAATAAAATCTATGTAGAGTTTAAGGCTATTACGTAAAGTTTTCGTCGTGGTTTTCCTAAAGGCGCGAAGGAATTCTATTTTGACATCAGCAGTGTATTTTGCCATGCCTGCTGATTTTTACATACGATGCCTTCGTCGTCTGTTTCGTATTCACAATTGATGTTAAATAGACTTGCATAAACCTCTCGCCATCATTTTGTATTTTCAATGAATGTCGAAACTGAGTCATCGATAAAGTCGTGGAAAATAGCAAAAACAATATGTTAAGAAGGTTTTTTGAGTGCCACAATTGGTAAAATCAAATTAATTTCATGGTCTGAAAGGACAATATGATCCTCATCAATGGTACACTGCAACTGCATATTGCGTTGTGCCATTTTTGCCAATTCCATACTCACATCATGGTGGAGTTGATACACCGTCAGGTTTTTGAAACGAGTCAATTTATTTTGGATTTGTTGCCACCATAAGGAGCTATGATGGCTGTAACACAGCACCACCATCTGTTTTGCCTTTTGGCAACCTTTACGGATGCGTGTCTCATCAGGCTGTCCAACTTCAATCCACAACTCAATTTCATCAACTAAATTTTTTTGCCAAAGGTCTGGCTCGTCAGCATCAGATAAACCTTTGGCAAAAATGAGATCAGGGTTGGCATAAAGCGAGAACATGAACAGTCGTGCCATTAAACGTTCTTCTGTTTCTGATGGGTGACAAGCAAGCGTTAACGAATGATCTGCGTAATAATGTCGATTTAAATCAGCAATGTTGATGTCGGCTTTATAGATCGTTGATTTTATTGCCATAAGGTTTAGGTGCGTTCTTTAGCCAAAGTGACAAACATAGTGGATAGTCTCTTGAATATCCATGTCAAAATTACCATTCTCTGGGACAGTAAAAGATTGACCGCCTTGCATATTCTGCCATTCTCCACCGTTAATTCTGACTCGACAAACCCCTTTGATCAGTTCCATCACTTCAGGGCTACCAATATCAAAATGTAAGCTCCCCGGAAACATGACACCTAGCGTTTTTTTTGATCCGTCAGCAAAAATAACAGTGTGAGAAACACACTTACCACCCTCAAAGATATTAGCGGTTTTGATAACGCTGATATTGTCAAACTGACTCATAAACTTCCTTTTCAATTAATTTTTAATGCACCGATGATGTTTTACCGTCATGTTTGATCAGAGAAAGATCAACTTGTCCTTAAGGCCTGCTCACGTTTTTTCATTTTCGTTTGGATGCGATTTTGTTTTAAACGCGAAAGGTAATCAACAAAAACAATGCCATTTAAGTGATCAATTTCGTGTTGAACACAGACGGATAATAACCCATCGGCTTCAAACTCAAATACTTGCCCTTTTGCATTTTGCGCCTTGACTTGAATACAATCTGGGCGAATGATTTTATCGTAAATATCAGGGACAGATAAGCAGCCTTCGTTATACTCTTTTTCTTCTTCTGAAACTCGTGTGATTTCTGGGTTAATCAAAACGAGGAGGTCATTTTTGTTTTCTGAAACGTCTATGACAATCATGCGTTCATGAATATCGACTTGTGTGGCTGCCAAACCAATGCCTGGTGCAGCATACATGGTTTGAGCCATGTCGTCAATCATCATTTGCAGATGTGCGTCGAACTTCGTCACAGGTTTTGCGACCTTCTGTAGACGCTTGTCAGGGTAGGTAAGGATGGTTAGGATAGCCATAGTGGGCGCTATTTTACCTTAAATCACAGATAAAATAAACCCACAACAACATCAAGAAATTAGGGTTTTTGATCCTTGGGCGCAAAAGGGTCTGGCGTCATAGGCTTTTCACTGTTTAAACCAAGTAAGTCGCTTAACCACGACCATTTTTCAAAAAACTTTTTAGGATAATACGCAATAGCATAAACGAGCTCGCCATTATCAATGGATTCTAGAAGGTTTTGCCAGCGATTTTTGAGTTGATTTAAAAAACCATCATCTTCATTAGGTTGTGGTGTTTGAATTGGGGCTAAGCCAAGTGTGTTGTTAGGCGGTTGACGTTGTGGTGAAATGCTCATAACAGGAGTCGTTACGCCAGTATTGGGTTCGTTTGTTACGATTTCAAATGAGACTTTCAACTCTTGTTCTTGATCGGGTATACGTGCGATCAATTCGTATTTTTCGGGGGTTAACGTTGAAGGTAGATAATTTTGTCCATTCGTTCCTGATAGACTAAACGGATAGGTGAGCGTGTTAGATTGAATAACTGTACCATCGGCTTTACGTAGTTGTATGGCGATGCTTTCGGTTAAACCATTGGCACTTACGCGCAAGGCAAGTGGATTTTGGCGACCATATTGCCAAAGATTGATCACAGTATTGGCGGTAACCGCTGCTATATCGCTGTTATCTCTCGTATCGACAATCACCAAATGATGAAGACGTGGTTGGATATTTTGAGCACTTGGCAAAATAAGTCGATCAATTAAAAAACCCTGTTCATCCGTTTGAATGGCGCTCGAAGGCTTGTTGATGCCTAACCAGTTAGCTGGAATATTGCCAAAGACTTTACTTTCAGGTTGAGAAGGTTGGCGACGTCTATCTAACATAGCCGTCACTTTGGGGTCGCGTGTCAAGGCTTTGATTTGTAGCCCTTCAATACGGTTATCATCGGTATGACAGCTTAAGCAAAAGCGATTAAAATTTGAAGAAGGGCGCGGCACATCAGCAAATAAAGGACCTTCAGGAAAGTTTAAGGCTTCACGTATCGATGAGAGCCCAGGAGGGATGTTGCCAAGATGTGCTTTATAATCCCCTGTGTAGTCATGATAACATGCGTAGTGTGATTGGGTTGGCGTATTGTAAATGGTTAAACTTTGCGATAGGCGTTGATGCGCAGCGGCAGGGAACTGGTTCGCCCAAGTGCGCCAAAAGCCTTGATAGGTTTCAGGTAGTGCTACCAATGTGCCATTAGCATAATTACACGCGATTTCAGCATTAGCAGGTTTATGCGTAAAAACACGAACTTGATCAATCCATGCTGTCAACCCTGTCGATGATTCGCCCGCATGCCCAACTCTAAAAATACCAGGCGTAAAGAGAAAGGTATTGGGTGGGAGTGGATGTGTAGCCACTTCATAACCGTTTCCATACACGATAAAACGCTGATTAGGGTAATCTAAGGTAATGCCTAAATGCCCCCAATGACGATATTTAAACAGCTGTTGTGGCAACATTGTTTGTGCGATAACTTGTCCTTGGGGCGAGCGAAACTGCAGTTTTTGCAAACCCACTAAGGTTATTTGACTTTGATCAGGAAAAGCCATGATGACTCGCTCGGTCGTGTCATCTTGAAAGCGTGGGTCGATAAATAAACTGACAAACCATGGGTTTTTATTGATGGATTGTGGTTGTTTTTCAATAGAATAATCAATAGCTGCGCGACCGTCCAACCAAAGTCCTTTACCATAAATTCCACCCACAGCCGCATATTCAAGTCGTGCCCCGCGTACCTCCCCATAACGAGGAACGTTCCATTTCTCTGCTTCAGGTGTTGCGGCATTTTGAATGCGGACAGGGAGATTGTATTTGTTATGTTGAGGATTCCAACCATCGTGGTAGGTGAGAACCAGTTGATTCGTTGCCGATTTTCGTGTCGTTGTTGCACCCACCATATCACTCACAATAAAACCATCATGACTTAGGTAGTCATCAAATGGAATTTCATCCGTGTGTCGCCCCGTGCTGCCAAGCCATACGACATCTCTAGGGGTGATATGTTTGAAAGCATGCCAATAATTAAAACGATGTTCGATACTGTCAAAAATACTGCTGTTACGTGAGCGAAAATAAGCAAGTTGACCATCGGTATCCGTATAAGGTCTAGGTAATGCGACTTGATCATTGTTATGTGTTGCATCTTCGATGTAACGCCTTTGATCCACATTGGTGGCAAGAACCGTTCGGGTATCTGACAGTGCCAGCTCACCTTGGTTCCCGCTTGGGTCGGTAAGTGGATTAAACGCTTTTGCAATATAGGTTTTATAATGATCAAGCTGAAAATCAATATCGTTGACCATGCCATCAATCATCACGAGTTTTCCTTGGGTCCATGCACCCCATAACCCAACGGTAGTATCGTGTTGAGAAACTTGATTATCGATTGCCGACAGGTCTTTACAAGGTTGTTTAGTCTCGTTGTCGATACAGCGCCCTGGAATAATCGCTTTGGAAAGTTGAGCTACTTGACTAAAAATATTAGCAATCCCCGCACCAACATACCGTTCGGCCTCCTTGGCAAAACTGGTGGCTGCATCTGGAAGCATGGGGTTGTTTGCAAGAGTTCTATTGGTTAACGTTGCTTGTAATGTCCTTGCGTGGCTATCGATCCAAGGATAACTCCAACGAATATCTGCACCATCGGGGATGATTTCTCCACTTGCATCTCGAAAAGGATATTTTGCAAAGGGGTAGCGTTTATTCACTCTAGGATCATAAGGCGCATGCGTAATGGGGTGGTATTCTGTCCACTGGTTGACATCACAGGCTTTTGCATTTTCGGGTGCGACACTGTATATCAAATCATAAACACCATGACCTGATTGTTGGGTATTGGCATCTTTCCACTGTAACGAATCGATACCAATTCGTGCAATCAGTAATCGACCATCTCGTGGCGTCATGGTTTCAAAAAGTTGATGGGCTTGAATTTTGTTTTGTAGGACAGACATCTGAGGCGTGCCATAAATGACCTCAGCAATTTGCGCATTTGGGGTCTTAGGCTGGCTAACTCGTACGGTCAAAGGTGCTTTAGTCAAATAAGCTGGGGAGACTTCGGTATATAAGTTTTTTAGGGTGGAAACAAGAGGAATTTTTTCGATAACCGCTAAAGGTGTTTTAGATAAATCAAAATATTTAAATACTTTACTACTGTGTGCTGTTGCCATAACGTTGACTTCATAACAATCATCTTGATGATTTGCGCCACAGGCGTAGGGATTGGGGCGACTGCTTGGATCCCTAAATTGAGGGTGGGGATCGCATATCCCTACCATGCTTAACCCATACGTTTCGGGCGGTAGCATCTTTTTGACATCAATCGGGAAGTCTTTGGCTTGGCGAATCGGTGTGCCAGGCGTACTCGTCATAAAAGGAACCTGAATTTTTTCAGGCATGAGTAAGGTAATGTGTTTAAGTTCTTGTGAATCGATACCAAGTCGACCGTCAGATGTTACTCGATAACCTGGAAGCAAGGCTCGATTCATGTAGGGATTCGTGGGGTGAGCCCGCCCCCCATTGATTAAATCGCGTGTAATGATTGGGCTTTCAGGAAGTGTTTGTGCCTTGATGTTTGTCATCACAACTACCATACCCAAGCCCAATAGAAGATTTTTAGTGATACAGATGATTTTGAACTGCTGTGCCATTGTTGTCGTCCCCTTGTTTTGGCGTATTCTATAATAGAAAAGTAATAACGTGATTACGTGTTTACCCTAATGCTCAAATTGATGATGGGGATAACGATGTGGTATTGTCAGCAAGGAAATAGGTGTTAATTGATTCGACGTTGCAGAGAAGATACGCCTGGCAACACACTCATTTTTTGCATGAGTTCTTCGAGTAACTCAGCAGAGCTCAAGCGAACGGTAAGATCAATGTGGACAAAGCCATTATGGACAGTACCTTGATGCATACCATCGAGCCCTGTTTTGTATTGTCCCAAAATATCGGCCAAATGTTTGAGGAACTGGTGGTCGTTATAATCTTGATGAATTTTAAGAGTTAAGTCAGCTTGGTACTGGCTTTCTCGTGCATTGCCCCAGTGAGCAGAAATGAGCCTTTCTGGTCGTTTCTCAACAAGTTGAAGTAAAAAGTAACAATTTTGACGATGAATTTTGATGCCTTGGTTTTGGGTAATGTAACCTTGAATAAGGTCTCCAGGCAGAGGTTTACAACAGTTGGCCAATTTGGTCGCTATGCCACCATCTCCTGCAATTAAGATATCTGTGTCGTTAAGGGTATACGTTTTTTTAGATTTAGGTAAGATAGGAACAAGGGAAGACTCTGGTGTTTTCTGTGCAGAGTTGCCCGTCATTTCCTTGACCATTAGTTCCACGCTTGCCGTCAATAATTCGCCTTTAGCGAGCGCTAGAAAAAGATCGTGAGGCTTATGAAACTGTAGTTTTTGTGCAAGATGTTCGATATTGATCT